ACATCAAATGCCATAAGGTGACCTCAAAGAGTTGCTAAACAAGGGGTGGGCCTGAGTGGTGGGCCATTGTATCTAACATTCTCTTTGACTCACCAGGTTTGGGGCCAATGTCACACCAGTCCCAGAACCTGCAGTCTCTGATGCTGTGGTCCCGGCTGACACTGAAGTGGACAGCAAAGCCTGGGCATGTGAGCCGAAGACTTTGCAGGGTCTCATCGATACCTATGTGGTGGAAGCCCACTTCCCAGGTCGGCAACCAGGGACATCTTTATATTTGTGCGTGGCTACCCGCAGGGACTCGACATCTGTGGCAATGACAAGCCAACAGAAGTTCAAACTCTTTTTAGCCACTAGTCCTTGACTGTTCTATCACAGTGAGGAATTAGTTGAATGATGAATGCTTGTTGGCAAATGTTTGTTGAACAATCAAACTCTGATTCCAAACTGTCAAACACATGAGGTGGCTCACAAGGAGCTCTCCGTCGATGACAAGGAGTTTTTGCTGGGGTATGGCAAATCGACTTGGATGAAGCAAGAGCGGATCATGAAGATGGAGCGTGAGAATGCTACTGGAGGCTGACTTAGTTTCTTTCGACATCACCAGCCCTTGCTCAAACACCAGTTTCTTTGTGCCTGCATCGCTCACGATCGCCATGAATTTTGCTTGGACTTTGAGCCTCAGCCGTTTCTAGTCGGCCGATAGTGATAGGCAGTCTCAGTTCTCTTTGTTGAATCATGGGAGATTCGCAGTGTGCTTCGATCTCACTGTCAGATGTGCTTGCACAGCATGGGTTTAAAGAGGAGAACTGCAGTTTGTTTGTTGTGCACTTGTCCTGAGTGGGTTAGGGTTTGTTTTGCCAATCTCTTCAATGACTCTTAAACATCATATGATTTGGATCTTGCAGGATTTGAACAAGATCTTGGATAATAGCCCTGGCCAGTTGGAGACACCTCCAGCTATCACTGTGTGCTCCCAAGACCGCTTCACATTACTCTTACCATGATTACTCTTACCATGTTTTATCAACAAGCCAAGCTAAATAGTGGTTTGTATCACCCAGGTGCCTGGGAGGAGCCCATTGTCCGCCCCGTCGCAGAAGGTAGGTTTGAAACCTGAGGGCAGGACCACTTCAGCTGCTTCTGGGAAGCCAGCATTGCCCCTGTCAGCCAAACGTGCGGGCAAACCAGGCAGCTCTGAAAGCAAAATGCCTGAGGAAACCAAGAAAGCCCTCTCACTACAGATTGAGGCAGCCCTCAACACAGTGGCTGAACCCAAAGCAAAAGCAGCCAGCAAGAGGAAAGCCAAACCGGAAAACAACGAGCAGGAGCCAGCAGCTAAGCTGAAGAAGAACAAAGCTGACAAGAAATCGGAAGCTCACAAGAAATCTGAACCTTCTGAAGTGAAAGAAGAGGCTGAGGCCGCAGCCACTGCCGAGAACAATGGTAAGTCTGGAAGGTCTGCCAAACCCAAGGGAGAAGCAAAGGCCAAGGCAAAAGCAAAGGCAAAGGCGAAGGTGAGGCCCAGTGCAAAAGCAGAGGCAAAGGCGAAGGTGAGGCCCAGTGCAAAACCAAAAGCTAAAGGCCGCGCAACGACTCGCAAACCAAAGGCCAGGGGTTCCACTGACTTTGTTGTTTCAATTCACAATAATACCACATCAATGAAGCATAATGAAGCTATTGTTTCAGCAGCAGTTTGTCCTGTGAAACCTTTCCTGTGAAAGGATTTGCAACCACTTTGTTTCAGAACACTTGGAGGTTTCAAGCACTCCCGAGGGTGAGGTGAAGGAGACAGCTGATGAGGCACAAACAATTCCACTGACTTGCAACACTTAAAGATTCCTTAGCTTCTATCTAGCAAACATTAGCAAACTGTTGGCTTTGAACACACATTGAATTCCTGTCCCAGGATCACAGCATCCTGTCCCAGGAGACTGTTCACCGCTACCCTTCACCTGAGGAAGGTGCAGTGGATTCGGATGAAGGTCTCGTTGAGAATCAGGAGCATTGCAGCCTCACAGAAACAGTGAGGTGTGTCTTCAGTGAGGGGGGGAGCTGTGTCTTCAGTGATTTGGCAGGAGGCTGGCAAGCAGAGTGGGGGACAATCTCGAGATGTCTCTATGCACACCATCTATTGGAGTGTTGTTCATGAAGCTCAAAAGCAGCTCAAGCGCAAGTTCCCTGACATGCCGGCCAAAGAGATTCTCAAGAAAGCCAAGCAAGAGCTTTCTGGCTTGAATGGTTTTTATTGTTTATATAGGTCCAATAATTTCGAAGCTATGTGAACTAGTAGGTTGGATGACATTCATTCACTGGCACAATAACCATACCCATTTGCCCTTCCTTTTTTGTGGGTGAGGTGGCAGCAACACCCAGAACGACTGAACGCGATGAAGAACATGTCCAAGTCTGAGTTGAGCCGCCGCAGATTGAAAACCCCGGCTGAGACTCAGACTCAGAGCTGAGGGAGCCTGACAAGAAAGTCAGCGGGTGATTTTGCACCAGCTCCATGTAATGTGGGGAATCTAGTCATCTAGTCTTGAGGGATTTGTTGTGGGCCTCCTTTCACACAGCAGGAACAGCTGTGTGTGGCAACACAAGCTCGTGGGAAAAACAACAAGCGAATTGTCAAGTCAGTTCACTACAAAAAGCTTGTGCCAACAGGATGCACTGGCCCTGGCAGTCAAATACACCAAGTCAAACTTTGTGCACTTACACACAACCAGGTTACAGTTATCACACTTCATGCATTGACCTGTTATTGGGCAGGTGACATCTGGGCGACCATGACCGAGTTCAGGGTCACAAGTGACGTCTTCCCGGTGGTTCTAGAGATTGCACCAGAAAGCGGAAAGACTACATCAGACAGTGAACCCTGTTCTTTGAGGAATCTCCTGCATGAATTTGAAGAGGAGGGCATAGTGGATGTCAAGATCCAAAACCACACTTTGGAGCAACCTGGAGCTGATGAAGGCAGCACCATGCAGACACGACATGCGAAGCCAAGGTCACGACATGTGGAGTGTTTGTGGTGATGCTTTGATTACATCATGCCCTATCCTACCTGCATCTCCAGGTGTGGCTGACACGTATGTGATCAAGCCTTGCAATGTGGTCCCTGTCTTTAGCTACACCCAGACCTTGGCCGGGCTCAAGTTTTCCACTGTGGCTTCTGTCTTCACGTCTGAGGCAGAGTGGAGTTGCCTTGATATCTGATGGAATTTATTATAAAAGTTGGTGACATGTTTTGACTATTGACACACCCTTTTACCACTCCTTCTACTCTATGCCGTCAGGTCATGGAGGCCAGTGTGCTTTTGAAACGAGTGTGGCGAGTCTCTTACATCAAGGCAAAGCAGGACCACTGTTTCATGATCCATTGAGCCACAGTGCATCGAGGTCACCCAATGTTCAAACTGAATCTTGCAGTCTACAATGGCTGTCCAAGAAGAGTTGAAGTTGACCCTCACTTCAACTCTCAACCCCAGCGCAAGTTCAGTAATTCATTTCACTATTGGGTAGATAAATTATATTAGCTTCTGGCTTCTCGGGAGACATTGTAGACAGCTTTGGACTAGCCACAACCTTCTGAGCACAACACTCAGAGCGCAGCACTTTGGGAATGCATATTTAGGAAGAATGCACACCATATCACCTACGAAGGCCAACATGTCCTTTGATCCTGTGCAAAGGCTGTTTGTGTATGAAATGTGTGACCTTAATGTGTGTGTGTTTTCAACTGACCAGATCTCTGGCAGGAGATCTCGCCTAGAATCTTGGCGATGTGATTCTTGGGAATCCAGGTTTCCAGTGTGGCTGCTTGTGTCGCTTGGGGGGGAGCAATCTCAAGAAACCTTGGGTGTGCCAAGGAAAACCGCTATGGTTTCTCAAGAAGCCTTTGGAGATGGGGCCCAATGAGGCAGTGAGGCTTGTGTGAGATCATGCAGGGAGCCACTCCACAAAGAGTGCAGCATGGTCTGTGGGAGTTGTGGAGCCACTCCACAGAGGGTGGACAGTTTTTGGCGAGGGGGTGGGGCTTGGTCAAACTCAAAACTTAGTCAGAAAAGTCTCTTGCAGCTCTCATTGTGTTTTACAATAGAAAGCAACAAACAAAACCTGCACAATCCAAACAATGTGTCAGCCTATATATACAGGTTGTGCTACACCCCAAGAAAAAAATGATCTTGACAGATCGGACTCAAACACCTCAATCAGGAGCCTCGACGCATGAAAAAAACGAGTGCATAGTCAGTGCAATCACAGAGGGTGCTGCGTATGATGTCTCACAAAGGTTGTGAGTTGTGAGTGTGTTGTGATGTTGTGTTGTGGGTAGATAAATAGGTCCATGTCTGAATCCACCTCTCGATTAAAATGAAATGAACCTCGAATAAAATGAAATGTACTTATATATATACTTATCTCATTTCATCATAGGATGTCTCGCATGCCTCACCAGGCAACAAAACCATTTTGTTTTTATTTGTGGCGCGCAAAGTTCTATTTTTGGGTTTATTGAACATGCCAGGTAGGAGAGCCGCCAAGCCGAACCTGGGCATGACTCTACTAAATCAACCTGCGACAAATGATTTACATTGCATTGCACTACAGTGTTACACTCTAATATATGGTTTTGCTGACTGTTGATAAACCAAAGTCTCCCAAGGTGTCTACTGTACCTAGATGATCAACCAAACTGTGTTAAACCCAAACCGGGGGTCCACACGGGGGTGTTATGCATCAAGTGGTTATTTCATGTTGAACTGCATGAACTGTGTTTTTGTTAAAACGTTTTCACAACTGAACCGACCAAAACAAAACCAAAACAACCAATTGGAAGAGTCAACCTTATCATTCTTGGTGTTTTTCTCCCCACCTTGATTCACTGGGCCCAAACATGGACCACATCCCCAACAATGACGACGCTTTGGCCTCCGACTCCGCGCGAAGCCGACTAGCTACGACTCCCCGGCCGGGACCTCGTCGCGTAGCTCGTCGTGGCCGAGGCCTGTCGGATGTGATGATCCATGCGCTGGCACCTCCAAGCCCTGCAGCCTACTGTGATCGTTCCACGGCCGGTGGGTTCCGGAGGGTGGAGGCACCGGAGGGGGGACCCGGTTCGGTGAGGGGGGCCGTGAACCGGCAAGAGGGAGGGTCCAAGGAGTATCTGGATAGTATCCACATGAAGCAGGGAGCCGGAACGCGGAGCGACCACGTCCCCAAGCCCTGGCTAGTTTGATCTTTATTAGTTTAGCCTGGAATGGTCAACTTTTTGGCCTTGGAAGGCTAGGGTACCAGTACCATGGCTACCTTTGTTGACTATACATGTGTGCTAGCCCGCATGTATTTTGTTGAAACCCTTGTTCGGACTCGGATCATGTTTGTCCGTGTTGTTTAGTTGTTTATGTTCATGCCAAGTCGCCTGGGCTCTCAGGTTTGGCCTCCTGTCGCAAACTGGCCATCACCCTCATTGACTTCAAGATGGTAGATGGCGTCGAGAGGAACGGGGCCGCCTTTGGGTCTGGGATAGATGGACTAAAGCTAAGACAGATCGAGGTGGAGGGTGTGCGAGACTCCTGAAGCAATATTTAAGCCGCCAGTGATGCAAATGTTCAATAGCAAGTAAGTACCTGAGGTCCGTTGAGAGGTGCTGGGTGATAAGAGCTACTGGAAAACAAGCCAAGCTAGATGGAGACGATGTACAACAACACTAGACCTTCTCGATCGGATCAAGTGACTTGTTGGTGCCGACAGTGCCTTTTGTCCACCTCAGAATGTTTGCTGGTTTGAGGGCCGAGCATTTGGAGACGGGAATGTGCCGTGAAACGGTATCGGAGACGGCTTAGCTGTCCCATCTTCAAAGTTCATTTGCGCTTCTACGTGCCACGTGACCTTTGCCAGCGCAGAAGCTGTTGTGCGACCTTTGCCAGCTATAGCCGATCGATATAGACATGTCACACCTTCTCAAGATGTATAATAGTAGTGCCAACCCAAGGACCTTGGTCGAACACTAAACTTATCATAACTAAACTAGGCTGCTAGGCTCAGTCCACCAGGCTGAACAGCGCCTGGTTGGATTTCGTCAGCGACGCTCACGAGCTGCTGCGGGGTGACGATGCTCGCCGGCTACGAGCGATGCGCAGGCAGGGGGGACGAGCTCCACACCGGCCATTCAATCACCGTACCTGAGAAGGTACGACTGGATCCCTAGAAAAATGCATCGATTTGGGCCGTTGAGGAGTCGATGCATGGCGGAGGTTCGTCGACTTCGTTCTGCTTCCGACGTCTCCCGCGGGGGGGGGGGGGGGAAATGTGGACTCCAAAACAAGATGGAGATCCTATGAGGTCCTTAGAGTGACCGCCGTCCATCGATCGGTCGATGGATCTTGTTGAACTCAAGATCTAATATGATTGTTGGATCATTGGCCTCGTTTCGGGTCGTGTTGAGGAACACCAGTTCTACCCGAATGCGGCTCCAACATGGCAGATTTCAATACGTTTTGCCTTGTCAGGGGGCCCTCGGGGCATGCCCCCCCCCCCACGTTGTGTGTCGCCACCCTTGGTGTCGAATCTCGAGAAATCTCGAGAAAAAGGAAGACTGGGACATACCGGGACTAATTCCCTATAGGGCTCCTGGCCCACCTCCGTTTCGAAGATGGGCCAGGGGTGGGTGGGTTTGGGGGGTCGAATGCCACCGAACCTGATGAGATGGTGAAGTCGCCCTAGGCCCTAGGGATTGCAAGCTATAAATTCTTGGGACCACTTGCCCACGCCACCAAGTGCGGTATCGCCTGGTTTCGCAGGCTCGAGCGTCATGGCTACACCAAGATGCCACTTGGGCTATCACTCTCAGTGGGCTGGGTGGCACACCTGGAAGTCACAGTGACCAACGGCGCAAGTCCTGAGACGGAGGGGCTTGGTTTGCCATCGACTTTGGCCGGACAGGGTGGATGGATGGGCTTAGGGCCTTAGGGATGTTTCGGGTCCAAGGATGTCCAAGGTACAAGGGAGTTGGTCTCTTTCGCAGTGTTTGTCCATGCCCTTGAGATGACACTGTCAGCATTCAGCATCTATCAGCTTCGAGCACTTTCTCAAGCAACGTGCTTGGAAGGAAGAGCTTTGTTGATTTACTGCACCAGCTGGCAGCAAAGCACAGCCTGTGGTGGCTATTGTCACCTCCCAAAAGTGCAGCGAAAGGGAATCCGAGAATCATGTCTTTGCGTGGGGTTCTAGTCTAGCCATCCTTCACGAAGAGGAACATCTCGCTCATGTGTTCCGGAAGACTGACATACCAGGCCTGAAGCAGTCAGGCTGTCAGACATGATGTACGGCATCCGTAACGTGACGTAGTCAGTCAGGGCTCCAGCCCCACGCCTTGACTTGACCTCAGGTCAGAGTCCTTCCAAGAGGAGATGGCATGCCTTCCGGGCTCAACGGGGTTCGGCCCATTCCTGTGGGTCTTTTAGGGGGGGGGCAATTCTCGGCGGTTGTTGAAGGCCGTTGGTGAAGGCCTTCCGAAGGCATAGGAGTTGGGACACATGGCACCCTTTTTTCTGTGATGTCGATCGATTTCAGTCATGTTTTGGAAGCATCGAGATCCTCCTACAAGGCTTTGCGCGATGATTTGTCCCGGTGCGTGTGCGATACGCGCGGGTGCGTGAAATCGGCAGCCAGGACTTCCAGTCGCAGGAGGATGAGAGTCTTGGCAGAAGGAACCAGCCCAGCACGCCCCAATCCGGAAGCCCGTCATCACTGTCATTTGTGTGGCCTCCTCCACTGCAATGATCGAACATTCCTGTCGAACACAACGAGTTCAAGACATGACAAGACTCAAGGCCTATGATGAAGGGTTTAAGGCTTACAGTTTACATAAACGGATATGATTCGATATGAAATAAAAACAACAAATAGGACCGTGTCCATGCCCGTGCTGCCAGTATAGGGTACGCCCTAGTAGGTGGGCATCGCAGCATCGCGTCATGTTGTGCAAAGGGAGGCCCTAAAAGACCCCTTGAAGAGGAATGATCAACACCAAAATCATCAAGCAATTCTATCCTATTCCCAACGCTTATATGCCTACATTGATCCCAGAAGCCACCCTCACCTCAACGCATGGAAGACCACTCCAGATGACGAGGCTTCGAAAGAATGGATTTTTCCTCAGACTTGGTCCCGATGGTTGAGGATTTGAGGAAAGTCCACCAAGTTATGTTAGTTGTGAAAGATCTATAGCTGCCTTAGAAGCTTAACTGCCTGAAGTAATTTGACCTTTTGATACCTTTTGAACTTGTTCTACTCCTGGAGTTGCTGGGGCAGTTTGCCAAAGAATTCAGAGATCCAAGTTCGATTCTTTTTCATGGGGGGTTGGGGTTCATGTCCTCCCAAATGATCTTGGGAAGTGGAGACTTTGATTGGATGCCCTTGGCCTTTGGCCTCCAATCGACTTTATTCATTGAGAAGTTTGGGTCTTTTCAGCTCAGTTCCCGAGGCCGCCCCATGGTGTGATTCGGCGTGTTTCATCCGGTTTCATGATGCGATGGTGCATCTCAAAGGGGGACGACCAAGTCATGGTCATGGATGACCGACCTGGATTTAGAGATTCAGAATGCAGACATGTTCCAAAAAGCATGGATGGCCGCCAGATGGATTTGGATTTGGCAAGCTACGGGAAGCGAATCCAAAGGCTCGCCCGGCTCGCACCGAGGTTAGTTTGGCAGGCTGGAATTGCAGAGTCTGACACAGAGTTGATTTTTGATCGTGGCGTGTAGGGAGGGTGGGTTTTGCAGGACGAAGATCAGAAACATACCTGTATCATTTGTTATCCTTTGTTGCAATTTCAGTCAGTCTGGTGAAGAAACCTTGAAATGTTGTTGTTGTTTTTTTTTTTTTTTTTGTGATTAATATGTTCCAATAATGTTGATTTGCCATGATTTGCCATTGTTCTTTCTGGCATTCTTCCTGTAAACTGGCCCATGCAAGCAGATCGGCCAAAACAGCGCTAAGAAGTGTCGGGATGCGGCCGCACGCTGGACACTGTGGTCTCGCTGAGCCTTCGATTGGACGCAGAAGTGATGAGTTGGGCACGTTTGTTCTCACAGGTATGGGTTTCACAGGCCCAGCTCCAAATGGGACGAGAACTGAGTCAAGAACCACTGAAATTCAGATTCACCTCGACTCCATATTTGAGGACATTTTAGTCTATAGCAAGCTAAAGAAGGTTTGGCAAATAGAGGATCACCCCAACCACTTCAGCTAGGCTGGCGCCCATGTTTGCAGGTGCAGCGGAGCCTGCAGCGGCCCCTGCCCCGGCTGAGGCGCCTGAGGTGCGCCCCCTTCAGGGGCAGGGCTCGAAGACTCAGTTTTTGACATGGACATGTGTGCTGAAGGGTCCAGGAAGAATGGTCGTCCAAATGGTCCTGTGATCCACAATGGCATCCACATCTTCAGGACGAAGCACGGCAGCTCTTGCCCAATGGATCAAAATCCAAGCACGGCCCAGGCTTCAGGATCCCAAAGTGGCCAGCATCAGCTGAACCTGTTGATGTTTGGAACCGGCCTTCACCACCCAACTCGCCCGGTGTGTCGAACGGAGAACGCCAAAAGAGGGGTTCTCCCACAGTCTGCGATGCAAGTCCTGAAGCGAGTATCATGACTGAGCTATCGTGGATCCACCTATTCCAGAACCGGACTCTACAGGTCTCCGCTGGTAGCTTTTGGACACTTCAAAGTCGCAGGTGGTGACCTGTTGGAGGGTGCTGGCAGTGGTGCTGGTATAGTGGATCTTAGTGGCTTCAAATGCCTAGAAGCAAAGGGTATAGACTCAACGGGATCCACCGAGTATTTGACAGTGCTGCTAGTGAAGGTTGGAGGGTGTGTTTTGCTGGCGGGCGTTTGTTTGGGCCACAAGCAGTTCGTGGTTCTACTACTCCAGCACAAGTGAAGAGATACAAGACTGTTCACATCTTTCCACCACGACGTTCTAAGAGGTTTCTTGTTGTTTTCGGCGTTTGGGCGTTCCGAATCGTGCCATCCTTCGAATCGTGCCTTCAAACGATTCGACGTGCCGTGCCGAGCTGTTTGGGCGTGCTAAGAGCGCCTTTGTCCACAGGAGTCCACGGTGCATTGCCGAGCCTGTGGCTTTGCCACTTGCAGAACAGGGATGTTCAGGTGCCAATGTCAGGGATGTTCAGAACTTCTAGGGTCCCACATATCTCCACATGCCTCCTGAGATGTTCGGTGCGTTGGGAATGTTTGGGGTAGGTGAGTCCCTCCATGGTCCGAGCTTCGATTTTATCGAAATCATGCAAAGTAATTTCGCCCCATTCGGGTGCAGAAATTTTGGGGTACGCCTCTTCATGCCTCTTCCATTGCCTGGTTTTGCTTATAGGGTGTTTTTTAATGTTTTTTTTGCGTATCCGAACTGGATCTGCAGATGCACCCGATCAGAAAACTCCCCCAAAGCCGACCCAGATGGTTAGCCAGCTCATAGTGGGATCGAAAAGGCAAGATCATCCTCCATTTGGACAAACTCCAGGAAGCTACAAAGGCGACGAAACCCCTCGCATCATCGAAGACAAGAAACACATGAAATCAGATGAAATCCGATCACTATAAACATGAAACCCCAGTTTGGTGCCATCCAATTGCATGTTACTCTGAGGGAGGGTCATGTTTTGTGACTAGACTATATATAGTGTTTCTTTGGGATTGGTGACTCCTTGAAGCCTAAACACGCTTATGTCAGCAGCGTCAACTGATGACAACCGCTGCTTCATTGGTCTGTGAGCTTGTAGAATGAGTTAGTTTACCTTGGCCTCCAAATATTCAGCTACTCTCCCTCAAGTGAAGCGCTAGTGGCGATTGTGGCGTTGGCCCTGCGGAGTGCTCATGGCGAAGCTTCTCTATCGCTGGACTTTCATCGATGAAGAGCGCACCTCGATGGTTCCCAGTCTGCCACGTGTCCAGAGCTGCCCAAATTTGGTCCATCGTTGCGACTGTCCAGATTGGCAGAGCCAAATCCAGGCTGGACGGGTCGGTCGTCTCGACGGATCCGGCCGCTGTTGAACAGCTCATGCCGCCGGACGGACGGGGCGGAAGGGCGGAGGAGCCCCACCTGTGCATCCAAGATCATCCAATATCCGGGTCAGCATACACTGCAATGTGTTGACAGTGTTGATTTTCAAGTGTTCACTTGAGCCTGCCAGAGAAAGCTCAGTTGGAAGTACCCAAAAACAACGCTTCCATGAGAGTGGCTGAAACAACCATGTTTTCCAGCACCCAGTTGTGCTTCAGACTGTGCTTCAGCAGGAAAAACCTTGGATCAAGAATAGACTTTGCTTAAGACCCAGAGGTTTCGTTTGGATCGCGACCGGAATGACCGGTGGGACCTTGATCTCCCATGATCCCGCAACAGCGCTCCAAGGTGAGGACCTTGTGTGAGCGCTCCAAGCACATCGGTGATGAGACACAGGGGACTCTGAAGTTTCCAAAACCAGGTGCGACGTGTCGTTTCTGGCAACGCCGGACCGTTCCAGGTGGCAGTTCGGATCAGTGTTTGGAGCCCAGCCCACCTAGATTCAAAGTTTAGATCCTTGAATCATCTTGAATCCATTGTCATGTCCTCCTCGTCTTTCCAGATGATAGGTGGCATCAGATCGTCCCACGGACCCGATCCAATTTAGTTCCGAATTGCACGGATTGAAGATCGCACGGTTGCGAAATGAGTTTTCCATTTGTTATCATTTGTTCAATCACTTTCGGACTGGGGACAATCTTCAATCCTGCAATCCTGGAAGTTGGAGAAGAGTTGAGACTCTTTGTTGCTGTGGCGCCAATGATGTCAGCAACCCATAGCGACAATTAATTGCTTCGATATATTGAGATTGCTTCGTGGGTGTGAGATTTACTTAACTACCCACTTCGCGGGTGGAGCTCGCAACGAGAAGCTAACCGGGCGCTTGCCCGAAGCAACCGGCATCCGGAAGCAACCCACCAACCCGGAAACATCCAAACAAACTCGCTCCCTGAAAAGCTTACTATGGCACCCATGAACAGCTTGAGGATCTTGAGGCGTGCTATAGGATGCTATAGGCAAAAAAAACTGCTTAGTGGAGAGCTGCAATGTTTGTTTCGGTTTAGTAACCGCCCCCGAACAATCTGAAGAAGCCCAAAAACCGACAATTGTTGCAATCGATTTATCAGCTACTTGTAGGAGGTTTTTTGGGAAGTCGTATTCTCATATGTGAGGCGGTCCTCAGGGTACGGATGCCATTGAACCATAGCATACTAGTGTCAGGATCGGGTGCCCCACAGTCGAGCCAACGTTGGACGAGAATCGAGAATCGAGCGATGAACAGGGGCCCCGCCGGGGTTCGGGAGTTGACACGTCGAGGTTCCTACAGAAAAGCGGCCAATAAGAGGCTGACAAAAAGTGGCCCAGCTTCTTCAGTCGACCCCTTAAAGGGGGTCACCACATCACTGGTCGCAGAAAACATCACTGGTCAAACTCCACGGTCTGAGCGCTCTAAAAAGAATTCATCAGGCATCGCATCACTGTTCACCACATGATAAATCACCACACTCTCAATACTCTCCCTGAAATCATCATGAAAGTGGATGGCACCACCTGTTTGGTATTCGGATTTCATGGTAAGGCCCATGCCATCCACGTAACCATGATGATCATGACAGCACCACAGCACCACAGCACCTCAGCCTATTGGGGAATGTTAGAAATCAGTCCCTCAACTACTGTATTGAATGTGTGCGGCTGCAAATGGCATACGAGAAACCACATCTGTAGTTTTGGCGCAGAACTCAATGGAATTTTATGGAGTTTCTGTTCTGCAATATTGTATTGCTCTCCGCCTTCAACGCTTTTGCCTTTTAAAAACCAGAGGTTGGCAGTGGAAAGGCTTAAAAAGAACTCTCCCACATGGACAGATCGCAGAGCCACAAAAGTTGCACATGCAACAGTGTAACAAAAAATAGTTTGTGATTAAAGAGCTGCCAAAAGTCTGATGTTGAGCAAAAAAAATATAATATATATATATATATTAAGTCAGGAAGAACTACTGACATCGACATCTTTCATGGGAGGATGATGGCCCGAATGCATATCTCAGTCTTTGGGCCTCTTTCAGGCCCAACACGGGCTCTCGTCTCCCATGAAGAGCTTCTTCCTAACGTCGGCGGATTATATTCGGATGCGGTTGAGAAAAATTACTGTGCCAAGTAGTTCGTAGGCCCGACCGGGAGGTTGGAATGGTTGGTGATTCGATGGCTGAAGCACCGAGCCGAGCCGAGCGGAGCGTCACCGCCGAGCCGTGCCGAGCGGAGTCCAGGTGCATCGCAAGGAAGCCACGGACATCCGGACCTCTGCCGTCGGCCATGCATTCTATTTCTTCATGGCCAATGTCAAGAGGTGGGAATGCCGCTTCCGTCGGTTTGCTTCGATCCGCCGAAGGTTCCCAAAAACAACCTGCAGTGGTTTATGACACCGTGTTGCGCCGCTTCGCGACATGAAATCCTACCTTTGTTGATCGGCTGAACGATGAGAACCCGACAGCGACCGTGACAATCGAAAAACCTGGGTTTCTTCGCATGCAGCCGGCAGCCTACTCGGGGCATGCATTATATATAATTACCAGGGAATCCAAATGTGCATTTTTTTTTGTTCAAACACCTTCGCACAAAAAATCCGTGCATCCGGCCATTTTTGTCAAATGGACAAATTTTCTGGAATTCCTTCGAATATTGGGTTTGATTGGGTTTTAAGTTTTATCAATATAATTGTTTGTTTTTTTGTCG